CGGGGCCGGGGGCCCTGGCCGGCTTCCTGGCCGGCTTCCTGGCCCCAGCCTGGTTGCTTGCTGCGCTCGCAAAACGCACCCCCCCATTGAAAAAGCTGGATACGGGCCTGTTGAAGTCCTTTCTTTTTCTATCAGGGCCTTCGTTTGTGATGCGATTAGGCTAATCTTGCAATAATATACAGTAGATGTGAAATTAGGAAATTTAAAGAGTTTCTGCGAAAATATTTTTGGGAAATCCGTGCAATTGTATGTTTTTATATCATATATTTTTACCATTGGAATGGGTTTCTTTTAATATGAAAGCGTGTTCGTCATTGGTCAGATTGCAAATTGCCTCTATATTCCATCTTGTGTACATCAACAATCACAGCCTGGGATGGTAAGCTTTACGGCTAACCTTACGTCCATGATGAGTCTGGTTGGTAGCGATGATGTACAGCCGTTTTTTTGTGGTACCTGAAACATACTGTCGGTGCGAATGAATGAATGGTTTTTGGCTTAGCCATGAAAACATTTTTTAAAGAATTAAATAAGTTGAGGTCAAATCAAAACCTTATTGACAATGATATCGTCAAGGCTAGAATCGATGATAGCGAGTTCCATATGCAGTTCTTTCTTTCCTGACGCTAGCCTTACCTACTCACAGCTCTCAACTAGGCCCATGGAGGAATTAGTTTACTAATTTCCATGCTAGGCTAGGCCTCTAGGTGAGATAAACCACATAGGCTGGCTGGGTAATACTTGTAGTAGATCAGATATTACAGAAAATTTAAGGTATCTTTTATGGATTCAAACTAAACAAAAGTTGTTTTTTATGTGTATAACACACACATCCAAATCACTGTGTTTTAGAAAACCATTACTTGTACAGTATGTTTTGTTGTATTTCTGGGGTCTATCATCCGGTATGTCATACAGAGACAATATTAAAACAAACAGTGCCACCATAGGAAGTCGCTAAGTACTGTACTAGGTATGGAATGCTTTTGAGATCAAGTTTTTAGTATACCATTAGTTGTTATTTTATTCTATTTCAAAAGGAAAACTTTTCGTAAAGGCTGAAATTGCCCTTTAAACTTGGTGAATTTTCACCATTTTAATACAGCAGTCCTAGGATAGGTGGGCTAGCTTTAGGAATAGGATAGACCTTTCTGTCATCCGACCTAGGCTCAGAGAGCGTGTGTGTGTGTGTATGTGTGTGTTACCATTACTGTAAAATGGATGTTCATTAGCCTCTGTTGTAGATTTTAAACATATATTTAAATTTGTTTAGTATAAAATCAGAAAAACAGGAATTCTGTTATTTTTACAAATTCAGTAAGTATATTCATCTTGATCTATAAATGTGAATCAAAGACAAACACCCATCTGGAATATAAAAAGAAATGTGTTGGGGTCAAATCAAAATCTTATCACAATACAGTAAATGATAAATGTGTCGTTCATTTTCCAATGAACATTTACATTGATGACGATTAGCAACTCATTACCTACATTGAGATGTCAAGTGCGGTAGCCCAGTAATGAGATAATTATTTGATTCATTAACATTTTCTCTTTAATAAGTATATTTAATAATGCATTCTATCGAAATATAATCATTTTATCCCACGGATATCGGATGATATCTACCTTTTTCACTCTGGAAATAAGTAAAAAGGGCATATACGGCCAGCCACGAGAAAAGAAGTTATTTGTTCAAACTGCCACTGGGGGACTTTTTTCCACGATATACCATGGCTACTTCTATTGTTCAATATATAGACTACACTATTAGTAGATCTCTACTACTATAATGCTGCTATACAAACATGACATATTGTGACTCTACATTAGTTAAAAGTTGTAATGTTTAATACATGTAACAACACACCCCACCACACCAGCTCCCACCAACAAAACACTCAAACCTTATATAGATAGATAGAAATCTTAAAACTTAATCAATTTACATATGAAATAAATTCATTCTGGATTCAATAAATAGTTCTGAATTTTTTTTTCAGTTAATACAGTTGTCAATTTTTTCAATCAATTTACATTGTTCTTCCTTAAGGTCCAGTTAGCAGGTAAAAGCATGTTGAGAATATGAAATAATATTTAAAGAAATTATTTGTAAAAAAAGAAACAGTGAAAATTGGTATACGCAAGTAGCAAAAAGAAACAAGTTTTAAATGAAATCAAATTTTTGAAGGAATGCAAAGTTAAAGAATTTAATGAATTTCGTGTGAGGAAGATTGTTCCAAAGGTTATCTGAGCGGAATTTGAATTTTTCCCCAATTTGTATCCATTATCAATTCTATTGCATCAATTTATTGCATCAATTTATTGCATCATTGTTGTTGTCTTTTTGTTTGTTGCCTTTACTGTGTTTCAGAAGTACTACTGTAATATCTAGTTATATCTTAATCCAAGTTTATTGACCCTGCCCCACGCCCTCCCCTTTTATCTATCCTTCTACCAGATACCTTTTTCCCTCATCTATATTCTCGCATATCTTTATTTTCATGCTCTGTTTAACCTGTTTCTAGGATGCTACTTTGGGACTGTGATGATCGTACATACAGTTACCACATAGAGGTTTCAACAGACAACCAAACATGGGTACGGGTAGCCGACAAAACCAAAGAGAACTGCAGGTAAGGATTTCAATTATACTTGCGGGAAAATAACTAAATAATCTGGAAGAATGCACTAACTGAATATTCATAAGCAGTGTTGAGGCTTATCTGTATACTTGGAGACTGGTTTAAATGTTTTATTGTGGAACCATCCATAATTGTCATCATTTTTCACAGGAGTACAGAACATACGTTTGAGGGTGGAGGGAGTTAACATTGTAGGCATATAGGGTTTGCAATGCCAAAACCAGTACTAGTGACCGAAACATGAAAATTGACTTTTCAATTTATTCATATTCTCCACATTATAAGATTTAAACCCACAGGTGGGCAAAGTGCAGCCCGCAGTCCGCATGCGGCCCGTCAGCGATCTTATTGCGGCCCCGATAATGGATTAAAAACCCTATGTTTGCGGCCCGCCAATCAAAATTGTCTAGAAAACACCTTGATTTTTACGGCCCGACACCAATCATATGTAAAAAGTTCCATTAAAACTGAGAATGAAATGATGTAAAAGCAGTGCTTGGAGGTTTTTGGAAGCTCACTGGAAACATCAAAGTTTGGGTGCGGCCCTCTGTGTTAAATCAAAAATTCACTGGGTTTTTATGCCCACCCCTGCTTTAAACCAATAGGTCATTTACTGAAGTTGTCTTACTATTTCCTGTAGTTATGATTAAAAGTATTACAGCTTCTCTGTACTATAAAGTATACAATACAGGTGCTGCCACATTCTTATGCTAATTCCTTAGTTAAGCATTTAGTGCTGACACTGGTTTTGGGATGGTAAGCCTATTACATACTGCATACATAGATTCTAGGCATCTGATTGTTTAAAAAGCCAGCAATAACTTCAACCATCACTCCTCTGATGTAGGTTAGGATGATAAGTACTTTCTTCCTGGGGAAAAATTGTCCTATACCCTAAATGATAGTACTTTTTTTGCCCTGTCGCGATTTGTAATCTCTTACCCCCCACCTATAACGTGGTTGCTATGCAATTATGACACGCACGTACGGTAAAGAGGATGCAACCTCTACAACGCTGAGAGAGATTAGCCCTTTGATCGCCTAGGCCTATGAAGTAAGCCAGTCCTACTTGGTGGGTACTCTTTTCATTACTTTCTTTAGACCTCGTAGAATCTATGTATGAGGTATATACAACAATTATTGACTGCTCTAGTTTCGGGAAACGGTGAAATCTATAGCCCCTTGGTGATGTAGAGACCGTAGCCTATCTTGTTAACAATCAATCATAGTTTAACATTATATGTGCTATACTATCAAATTCTGTAAACAAGGTCTGTCTAATACAGAGATACAGAAAGTACTTTTGATTAATATCAAACAATTTGTATTCATTTCAAAATATTAAAATTCATGTCAAAAAATGTTTCTGTTTCTGTCTAATAAATCCATGATATCTTTACTTATGTCATGGATGATTATTGTTTGCAACAGGTCTTGGCAGACCCTGAATTTTCCTCAGAAAGCCGTGGCATTCATCAAGATTGTTGGAACTCGGAACACCGCCAATGAAGTGAGTAATGGACGTCCTTTGGAGCCACGCCCCCATGGGATACAGATTATGATTTTTAAGTTTTATGCATTTCCACTGGGACTTTTAGTTGTACATCTTTCTACCAGAGTGATTGGAGATGCTCTTGTATGACATGCAAAATGAAGATGTAGAGATTCTTTTCCTGGGGGTATGTGTGTAAAAGATCGGAAGATAGCTAAGTTGTGACAGATACTCAGCCCGGCTTATTTTAAAGATTATGGGTTTAATACGTTCAACATTGTATGATTTTCTACGTTCAACATTGTATGATGTATATTGGCTTACCAAAATCACTATTGTTTCTGTTTTAAGTATAGAACTTTAAATAATTAAGAAGTACTTCCATACCAGCACTTCAGTGCAGTTTATTTCAAAATTTCTTTATTTTTGGATATATAAAAATAAATGTAAATACATTGAAAGAAGCAGGGGACAAAATAGAACCCTCCTAAAACCCCATAAGCTTTGTGGAAATAGAGAGGGGGACGTAAGATGAAAGTAAGCAATTTAATAATCAACAATAAAAAATAAAATATAGGAAAATGTATACATTATGGAAACAAGAAAAACTGCTTTTTAATCCAACTTAATTATAGATAAAGCAAATACATACTAAAGTAAGTTAATAAAAGATACGCAAAAGAGAATTAAATAAAGAATAAAGCATGTTATGATGTACTGGGCGAAGCTATGTTAACTGTCAATAAAAATAGTGTGTGTTTCTTAAAGCACCATCTGTCTTGGAACCTATTCCAAAGCTGGAAATATTTATTTTTCGGTTAAATGGATACAAAAATAGCCTCTCTTGGAACTAAAGAATATTAGGTCAAAATTATTCCAGAATTATTGAAAAGTCATTTACGCTTTCCAGCTATCCATTTATATTCCTGTTTAAGTTTCTTGCCCATTACATAGACAATAGCATGGGACTCTTAACCATTCCTTTTACAAAAATCAGATCACTAGCACTTTCCTTAATATTTAGTTATGAATACAACTTATATTTTATATTTTTCAAAAATATTTTTGTATCATTAAATTCCCTGAAATTGATAGGAGCTTAAAGAGATATTTACCTTCTTTAGAATCAAAGCAATAAAAGATCCAAAGGAAATCATAGGAATGATAAACTTTGAAATAATTGCTGGAAGATTTTGTTATTTAGTATGATTAGGAGAAATGATTGAAATAGACACACCCAAGCGATAGTATCTACGCAGACTGATGTAACTGTACGTATCGTCCCAACCATTTGCTGATGGATCTTAGCATGATTGTAAACTCTTTATCTGTGGACAGACCTTGCCAAATGTTGACGGGATACTGTTGTTATCTTGCAACATATGTTGCGACCTTTCAGTTTTTTTACTAATCTTCTCTCTAATTCTCTATTTATTAAAATACATTTATTGCCTTGGGCAAAACTTTTTTTTTGTAACTTATTTAACTAGCTTAAAAATTGGTTTCAAAGGAGAAAAAAGAAAGGTTCTGCTAGAAGCATCTAAGCAGAGTAGAAAATAAAAATATTTAATTATGAATATGGAAAATAAGTGAGGTAAAACCAGCAATTTTGTGACAGCATATTGGACTGATAAAATGCTTTAAATTTGTTTGATTGTGAGGGAAAAAATATGTATATGGCTTGGAAAGTTGCAGGTGGGATGAAACTATAGAATTTTGTGCTGATTTTATTTCTACAAGAATAATCTTAGTTTTGTGTTTATTTTTATATTCTTCCTATATACTTTTAAATTTCTGCTAGTAAATTGTCTGTAAATCTTTAATTTGTAACTTTTTCAAAGTGAATAAAATCTGATTCTTTGAGCAACTTTAATTTTGATTTACTTTTTAGGTTTTTTTTAATCAATTTCTTAGATGGCAGTATATCTCTAATTAATTCATTCATCATAAACCATAATTATAATACAATATATTTGTTATTATTCTCTGACAGGTATTTCATTGCGTCCATTTTGAGTGTCCGGCGCAGAAAGAAGAAATACAGAGTGACGGAGACAGCACTTCGTCGGGAAAGCTTTCTCCGACAGCGGTAGGAGCAGTAGGTGGCGCATTTTAACATCAAAATCGGAGCAATACACCGATGTTATTGTTACACCATGTGGAACACCACAGTTATTTTGAGTGTATTGTCATGAGAGGTTATTTATAATTTGAATTAACTTATTGTTGGTAGGTTTTGTATCTTAATCAGAAGTATTACTGGATGAAAATAATATTGTTTATAAATACAGTAATACAGTGATCTTCTAAATAAGACTGAAAATGTTAGTACTTTTAAAGACTAGTATTAGACTAGTGCTCTTCTTCAGGTCAAAGTGAGAACAATTGTGTGCTCAAAATTTAGAGTCATACCAAATACACCTAGACCTTAAAGTACTACAATTTTCAATGTTTTATTTACTTTATTATAATCAGAATATCACATCTCATCTATTTATATTCTATTAAACTGTATGTGTTTGCCCATTATGATGTATTTGTATAAGCAACATATAATATTTTAAACTTCCTGTACCAACTCAGCATTTTATTTATTGTATAAATTTAGTAGCTTCCAGTTTGAAGTTTCTCATCCTATCACTGTACCATTATGTCGGGATATTTGTATTTAAGTAGAAGGCCAAGACTTCAATGAATCCCCACCTTTAGACAAGACTTTTTTTACACATTGTTTATCGAACCCACCACCTGCCAATAATGGTGATTTCAAATAAAAATTCAATTTTATGCTTGGCCAATTAGTACACCTGCTGCCATGAAAAAATGGAAATTGCAGGGGAAAAAAAAAAATAAAAGCTTTTCTTTATATTTATGATGACTGCTGCTGCCTTTAAATCTCCAAAAATAAGATGTATATTTCTTCCTAATTATATAAATTTAAAGCATGTAGCCATTCCATTACTACACTGTTTACATCACCCAATACAATTTTATTTTTGTTTTCTCCTCTGTCTGGATGTTTTTGACAAAGCTATTTCGCTAAATGAAATACCAAAATTTTTGTTCGACGATCTTTAAAAGAAAAGTTCGCGAAACAAGGTATAAAAAAAGTATTTCCTTAGCAATGGATGTATGCTGCTGTATTTTTATTTGAATGAATCTCCCTCCAAGTTTAAGCAACTATCCTATCCTTTCTTTTGTCCTTGGTTTTCTGTTTGGTTTTTTTTTTCAGATTTTATGTAAAGTTTTATATGAGTTACTTGAAAAAAAAAAAGTTAATAATTTGGCATCGTTGAATTTTTTAATCTGAAACCTGTTGAAATTTGTTTCCGTTGTGCTAGTTTTATCCAATCAAAAAGTTTTGTTATGCCTCAAGTAATGACATCATCATCTTCATGTGACTTTCACTTTTTGATCACATGACCATTATAACAATTTATTGAAAGATGTCCCTAGAGATTTAAAATTCATGAAGATTTTTGCAGAGCCTGACATTTGTCATGTCTAGGGAAGGGGCAGTTGTAAAATTACCAATTACTGAGTCCCCAAAAAGGTATTGTGGTTACTGTAGAGAGAGAGACAAGGAATCACATTTTACATTTGGACAAAACTTGTAGTTTGCCAATTTTCCTAAATATAATTATTTTTTCCCTCTCCAGCCATAGAATTGTTACCCCTTCACCATTTTCCTCCTTCTCCCTAGCTAATAGAACCTATCATCAATGCAATATGTGATGCATGATATCAAGATGATGTCTTTGAATTATTGGTTAGAAGCTAGATTTGATGGTTTTCAATTTGGTCATAGGTTAATTGTTGAGTGATTGATCAAAGTGTTACAAAGTGCTTGTATATCGTGAATTGCAATGTAAAAACTGCTAATTCTTTTATTGTATCTTAAAATGTCTTACCAATGCTCACTTTTTCTATCGTATTTCTGAAATTTTCAGAAAATATTGGCACTTGGGAATTACATTTCTCCTCTTGAAATGATGTTGATACTTAATGGGGGCTTAATTTGGGTTTAGCTCGGATCAAGTTTAACCCAATTGTGTTGAATATATTGGCTTATTACATTGCAAATACCCCATCCCTGTAAAGCTTTAAAAGCTCATATTATTAATGTATATTTTTTTATACTTAATGGTTTTTTTTTTATATTATATTTTTGTTGATTGAAATATTTGATCTATGTAATGTTTTAAAGCTGAAATTTTTAGGATTAAATTGTTTGTTTTATCCTATTGTGACCAAACTCCCTATTCATTCATATTGCATATGATAAAAAAAAATGTACTTTAGAATAAATGGATTTGTAATATAATTAGAATAGCAAATTATTGTGATAGGCTGTAGATTTTGCCGCATGAACCTTGGCATACACACTCAGATTTTTGGTTTGCTAGAATTGGATTGGATTTCTTCCATGTGAAATACACCAAACGATACCCCCACTAGAGTACAGAAACATTTTCCAGTGGTGGTGGATTGGACCGTATAAATTAAGGAGACCATCGATTGTTTTGTTCTCAGATAGTCTACTGCACAAAGTTCTGTCGAGATCATCACATTTTCTTTTGACAAAAATCTGTTATATAGATATATATGATCATGATGTGCCCATATATGGTCATTATGTGCCTATGTATGGTCATGATGTGATGACATCATGACCATTTTTAGCCATATCACCTGTTTTTGTTAAATAAAATTTGATAGTCTGGTCAGGCCTTTAGCTATCATGCCCATGGACCATTTTGCACACTGGACCAACAGCTTAAACTTTATATCCAAAAGATGGTAAGCTATTGAAATATCAATTTCAACGTGTTAATATAAAAGTTAATAAAAAAAACCCACAGAAATCTGATGGTGTAGGCTCAGGTTAAGTCATATGCATTCTCGTATCCGATATTCGTGATGATATATAGATTATTCGACCTTAAGCATTTTTGCTCTAGCTGTGTCAGCTCATGGTTGTTGCCTTGTGAGTGTACGTGTGTGAACCAAAGCTTATTATGTAAATTTAGTGATTATAGTTATATCTATGGTGCAATTAAATTGTCATTGTTAAACTCTGCCCACACTATCAAATTTTGTTTGACAAAAAACTGTTGTATGGCCATATATAGTCATGATGTGCCTATATATGGTAATGATATGATGTCATCATTACCATATTTAGGCATGTAACATGTTTTTGTCAAATAAAATTTGACAGTCTAGCCAAAGCATTATTTTCTTATATCAGTAAGTAAGGCTTTCTTTTATCTTCCATTTATCCAATTTTTTCTTTTTTTAAACCACTATGCTAGAACAGGTTGAATGTGTTTATTATATTTTATTCTGTTTTACATTTCCAAGTAATGGTTATTTGCAAATTTAATTTTTAAATTTTAATCAGCCAATCAGATTTCATCTATTGCAGTGATTTGTTGTATATTATTTCCTCGAATAAAATTTACATTCCCTTTGAATTGCTGCTTGTAAGTTATACTGCTTTACACATTTCACATTCTTAATTATGTTTAATGTTTTGATGAATTTATTGCACATTTGTAATAGTTTTTATTGATTTATATAAAAAACAATATTTAGGAATATTATATAACTGTCTGTGCTGAGGTAAAATAATTGAAAAATATATTTAAATATTTTAATTGCTTGATTTATAAGTATTATTACATTTCAGTTGAATGGGAAAATATTAATAGATGCATTAATACAGTGCACCCTCCAAATCGAGTCCTCTCTCATTTCGAGACCATCTAATTCGAGACCACTTTTTCAAAGATCAAAATGACAATTATCAATCGTTTAACACAAAGCCAACCCTCTAATTGGAGACCGAGCCGCTAGAACATCCAAAACTTTTAGGTCCCAAAGTGGTCTGGAATTTGAGGATGAACTTTGATACAGTTCATGTGGTCTATGCAGAAGAACACATGAACTGTATTTTGTGCGTCTTACCAGAAATATTGGACAGTTCGCGAGTGTCAATCAAATAACTGACCAATCAGAACATTGGCCAGGAATGCGTGCGTATCACAAAACGTGCCACAAACGCTCGTGTTTGTCTATGCTTTTACCCTGTCATTTTGTGGGACCTTAACAATATCCAAGGGGCGAGGCTTATCGGAAAGGTCCATTGTTTACATATTTTACAAAGAATTTTAAAGTAAAATTACTGAGAGGCTGAATTCATTTTATGGAATATTAATATATGATATATCATACTATAGGCCTACAACCATTATTTGAAAAGACTCTATGGAATGTGATGTTTGTAAAATTATACAGAATGTAGAATATCAAAAAAAAATTTGTTTAATTGAAAAAATAATAATAAATTATGAAAAATTTGTGAAACTATGATGATGAATAATTAAGTTTAATTTACTAACGTTTTTGTATTTTAATTTTCTATTGTTACTTTATGATCATCAGGAATGTTTTATTAACTGTTAATGTTGAATTAATTAATTTGAATTGTTCTTATGATTGGTATATACTTATAGTATGCGATTTTAGTGAACAATAACAAGTTTTCGGTATAAGAAAACGTTTTTCAGAGTTGTATTTTTTGACGTGGTGGCATAATTTCTACGTCACAACAACACTTTCCTATCGTATCGTAGTCAGTAGCCCATCTACGAGTGCATGGAGGATGTGGGACACACCCCCAAAAGATCACTTTACCACCCAGTGGTTTCCCACCTGGAAATGTTTGAAGGGGAAAAAATAACGCTCAAGTAGGTTAAAACCACCTTATTTGCACTCTAGTTTCCCCTCATATCAATATCGGGCCCCTCCCATTTTCACCGTTGCGTCCTTCTATCAGGCCCACCATTTCAAGGTTCCTAAATGCGCCAATGAGTTTACCAAGTCTTGTTAATAATACTTACGTGATTGACCGACTATTGCTATTGTTCTTTCAACTAGAACACCCCTCGAGCATAGGCCTAATAGAGCCGTCCAGGCCATCGTATCTTCATGATAGCCACCACAAGTCCTCATTATTTGGAGATGCCAACAAGTCGTATCGCAGTTGCCAATTCTCAGTAATTTAATAATACAGTATTGAAGATTTTGACTAGGATATAGAGAGAAGGTTGAAAAATATACTCGAACAGAATGTACGTACAATGATAAGAAGAATTTAAGATAATTAGTGAAATACCGTACAACCTCGAATTGAAGCCCCTGAGGGGGGCTTCTTTTTTTTTTTTGAAAACTTTAGATGGGCTTCCTTTCGAGATGGGCTTCTTTTCGAGGCTACTTTTGCAAAGTAAAGAAGGGAGGGGGGGGTCTTCTTTTCAAAATGAGTGCTGTAAACTTTGTGAATTTGTACTATAAAACAATAAATACGGCCACTGTAACATCAACCTGTATGATGAGTGTATTTAATTGACATTAAATCACCTACATTACTGTATAAACCAATTTTTTATTTTTTATTTATTTTGGATTTTTTTTTTAAATTCATGTATAGTGTATAAACTGTAGGCCTACTATCTCGAAAAGAAGACTATGCTATATTTGCAAACTAAAGAGGGGCTTCAATTCGAGAATGGCTTCATCTCGAGATTAAGCCCATTGGGCTTCAATTCGAGGTTTTACGGTCAGATAATTGAATAAGATACAAATAAAATAATATATAAGGTCAGCATTACACACAATCCAATGCCATTAGAAAAAGAAGTACGATGATGACTGAGGAAAATTAGATTTCACATAATTTCTGATTCTCATCTTCATTAAACCAAATTTATGATTAAAGTTAAGATTAATAATAATAGCAAGTTAAGTATGATCATCTTTCACCATCACGTCATGCTATTAATATTAAAATGGTATGCTAACTGATGATGATATAGGCCTATTGATAATTGCATGGATTACTATCGTTTTAGCGTTTTCGTGCAGTTTATAGTTACATAAATATGATTATATTAAAAGTTGTTTGTTGACAGTTTTAGATAAAATTCACTATAGTTTCCCATAGAATAAAGATCTGTGGGGAGGGGAACCATAGGGAGCAGCAGCTAGACGCATGCTAATATTTTAAGTATAGTATATATCTTGGCGCTACACACTTCGCCCCGCTGTGACAAATTATATAGCGTAAACGTATGTTCATTCGTATTGGTATACTGGCTCTGGTTAGTTATTATGTTTGACACTCTGGATTGGCGCATTATATAACGCCTGGTACCCTTAAAACTGTCTACACTGTCGCTACAGTGTTTTCAGTGCAATCGTTGTACCAGTGCGTGGGCCTATCAGTTCCCGGAGCAATCGGAAAGCTTCCGGTTTCCAACGACCTATCAGCATCACCGAGGACTGTCGCCGATTGCGTGTAGCGATTATAAAATCTCCGTGGCAGCAGCCAGTCGGTAGTCGCTGTTACCATTGCATATGAATGTTCTGAAACCTGATCATGATTCACTGCAATTAAATTTAAGTTCAGATAATATCGAGAGTAATTGAAGTCAATATTTATCATTTTTCTTCCCAATGAAGGCTATACTATAATTAGTATAGCTTGGTTTTACTAAAATCGTTACAATGTCGGTATAGTCCTTTTCACTATACAATCGTTACGTTGCGTAGTTGTCCATAAAGCAATCGTGAAAAATATTATGCAGTAATTAAAGTAAATTTTATATTGAAAATTAGTATTGGATTAGGATTCAACTAATAATTGTATTAAATTAGGCCTATATTTCGAAGCTCTAAATGATGCGAAAAATAAGGAACCAAATCCTCCGTCAACATGTGCAGCTCTCACCACCCTAAATGCAGTAATAAACCGAGTTGTAATAAAATGGATACCAGCACACTGCGGCATTACAGGAAATGAAAAAGCAGGAGCACAAAAAAGACAGTTCACCAATGAAGTATCTTATAAAGAAGCAAATGCAATCGTCAACTTGTCAGAAGCATGAATGGAATAACCAACATCCCGGTCACAGCCCAAGTGACAGCTAGGCCTATTACTACCTATCCGAAAGGATTGAACAAGTAACAATTTTCCGACTGAGGACAAGCTACAATCGTCTCCATCACCGCTTGCACCAAAAGTTTGGTATTCGTATTGGACACTCCGCGCCGATATGCGTCCCTCCTGCGGTGATGGACCAATGACTGCTGAACATTATTCTTCCAGAACAGCAAAAATTATGTAACTGAACGAAAACTTGGCCATTACTAACTATACTTCATCAAAAACTCGTGTTGCCAACTTCTCTTCATGTTAATTTATTTTAAATATCGAATCGATCACGTTAATTCTAATTAGGGCCTATATACTATCCTACTCTATTCAACAAATTAATCCCACACAGTAAAATATCACATGAATAGAATTAATGCGATATTTTACTGTTAGTGCGATTAATTTGTTGAATGGAGTAAGATAGTTTATAGGCCCTAATTAGAATTAACGTGATCGATTCGATACTATCCTACTCTACTCAACAAATGAATCCCACTAATAGTAAAATATCGCATGAATAGAATTAATGCGATATTTTACTGTGAGTGAGATAAATTTGTTGAATAGAGTAGGATAATACATGCCCTAATGAGAATTAATGTGATCGATTCGATACTATACTACTCTAACAAAGTAATCCCGCTAATAGCAAAATATCGCATGAATAGAATTCATGCGATATTTTGCTTTTAGTGGGATTCATTTATTCATAAAATATCCTTAAAGGTAAACCATTGCATGAGGTATATTGTTTGAAATGTCTAATAGCTCAGACATTAATAGAATAAATGCTACCACAACTCTTTTCAATACCACATCATAATCAAGAGACAAATGGGTGTGTTGAAGAGAACAGTGCTGAAGAAACCGTACTACCATTGGAATATATAAGAAATAATATAAGATATACATTATATACAAGAAACGTTTGATAAATACTGTGTGTTACGGTATCTGTTATGGACTTTGCCGAAGACAAAGAAAGAAAACTATGAATATATCTACGAACTACACAACTCGCATAGAACTACAAGAACCCATGCTGCTGTTCATAGCTCGTTGTATATTTTGTAGTATTGGTATTATTTCCAATTCATTTGTCATATTTGTGTTCGTCTACAACAAGACTTACAAGAAGTCTGTGTCACTTAAATTACTTCTCCATCAGACTGTGATTGATTTGATCGGTTCTCTGGTGTTTTTGATTTTATGCGTTATTCGTGTTCCTGATGGCATTGCTGGAACCATACTCTGTAAAATGTGGTTTTTCTTCTACTACGCATTGGAAACATCAACGTACAATTTTGTTCTGCTTACAATCGAACGATATATTGCTGTAGTCCATCCATTATTGTATCGCCAAAAATCATTGGGTGGGAAAATTACATGCATGTCACTTATTATCCCCCATGTATGTGGTGTATTTTTCACGATATATATCCCAATATATGTATACATGGATCCAATTGTGAAATTATGTGCAATGGAAAAAATGAATGCTGTATTGGTTATCTTATTCATTATTGTAAGCTTTGTGGTGCCCATTTGCATTATGCTGTGCAGTTACGTGAAGATGCTGTTGAAGTTACACAAAACAAGAATAGTTAGTAATGAACATTCTACTGAAGTTCAACGTAGTAATAGTAAAAGGACTCAAAGAATCAAGTCAGATCTATTGACTACTCTCATCTTAATTGCATTTGTTTATATTGTCACAGTAACTCTACACTTTGTTTTCGTGTTGATGTATTTAATATGTCAGTGTATTAATTACATATATTGGAGGCTGGGTGTGTTGTTTCTGGGGTTAAATTTTAGTATTAATCCATTTATCTACTGTATGGCATGCAAAGATTTTCAACGAGGACTTCGAAAGATTAGAGATGATGTATTTCAAGGTTAGAATCCCAGAATTAAGTGAATTAAGAGAGACATTAAATATATATACTCTTAGAGATGAGCTAATGAAAGCGGAAGATATAAGTAAATATTAGATTTTTTTGCATACACTACCGTAATACATTTAAATGACTTGTTATTTTTCTAAATTTGAATTCCCAGTTTCCTCGACTAAAATATACATTCCTTGTAAATTGCTACTTCGTAAGTTATATTGATTTAGACGTTCACATTATTAATTGTGTTTAATACTTTAATAAGTTTATTGCACATTTGTAATAGTTTTTATTCATTTATATATAAAAACATAATTTAAGAATATGAAGATATATATACTGTCTGTGTTGTGCTTAAAAACATGAAAATATATTTAATTTATAAGTATTATTACTTTCCAGTTGAATGGCAAATATTATCAGATGAATTAATAATACAGTTTATATGTCAATTTTACATAGATTCTAAAATTAAATGGTGATCAATTTCGGGAATTTCTATGGAATATCAGTAAAACATTTGTTTTGATCTGTGTCTGACCAGATAATTGGACCTTTCCCAAGTGTTAAACTTAATTGACCAATCAGAACATAACCAGGAATTTGCGCGTCATTCCATACATGTGTTTGCGCTTTTTTTTAAGTGCGACCTTAGCAACAATACCGTAT